ATTTCTCATGTATTTCTTATGGTTGCCAGGTATTTCTCAGAAGTATTTATCAGGTATTTGAGGCTGCCTAGCCGGTGCCGGTATTGCAGTAATACCGGCAATACAAATGTCTTTCTCAATATAAACAGAGATTATTCTGCAATACCAGCGCCAGCCAGTAGGGGTCGCTGTTTGTGTGGAGCGAGGCAGGGATAAGAAGTTACAGCATCTGCCTCTCTCTACTCACTGATCCGCGGGGGAGCAGCTCTGCACAGAGAGTCCAGACAGCAGCTACGAGCCTGCGAGACATGTGGACACTGAGACATTGGGAGACATAGGGACACTGGGGAACATGGGGACCCTGAGACACTAGGGACACAGTGGCTCCATGTCTCCCAGTGTCCCCTAGTCTCCCAGTGTCCCCATGTCTCCCAGCCAGTGTCCCCATGTCTCCCAGCCAGTGTCCCCATGTCTCCCAGTGTCCCCAGGTCTCCCAGTGTCCCCATGTGTTTCTCACTGTCCCTAGTCTCTCCATGTCCCCATGTCTCTCCCAGTGTCTCATTGTCCCCATGTCTCCCAGTGTCCCAATGTCTCTAAGTGTCCCCTAGTGTCCTAGTGACATCGGGACACTGGGAGACATAGGGACACAGACTCTAAGGGACACTGGGAGACATGGGGATACAAAGGGACACTGGGCAACATGGGGACACTGAGACACTAGGGGGCACTGAGAGACATGAGGACACTGGGTGACTTTGAGACCTGGGAGACATGGGGCACTCCCAGTGTCCCCATGTCTTCCAGCCAGTATCCCTAGTATCTCAGTATCCCCTTGTATCCATGTCCCTGGTGTCTCTCAGTGTCCACAGTGTGCCAGTGTCCGCAGTGTCTCAGTGTTTCCTAGTCTCCCAAAGTCCCCTAGTCTCCCAATGTCCCCTAGTGTCCCCATGTCTCCTAGTGTCACCTAGTATAAAAAAAATCTCAGGCACTCACTGTGATAGATTTAAGTCTAGTGAGCAATCAGAGAGAAGCTGTTATATGAATACCTTATGAGTTAATAACTACTAAATCATTTCTAGTTCACAGATAGATTTTTCGCTTATTTTTTAATTCTTCAAGTTTATTCAAGACAGGCATTAGATATGAGCAGCAGATAGGGGCTGCAATCTGAAACAAGTTACCAACCCCATACAACTGAGGGTTAAAGCAACTGTAGCTAATTAGTATCCTCTATGCTCTCTCCGTTTTGCAACAATATTGCAACACTGTGATAATACAGAAGCCCTAACCTGACAGTTATCTGACTCTGTTTCTTCACTCAAACTGTCTCCTATATTGAATTGCATTAACCAAAATTAGGAGAAGAGAGATTGCAACAATTTGTAATTACAAACAACCTTCTACTAGTTCTATATTATGATATTGTAGAATCAATGACATCAGCCATCTGCTCCCTGTATCCTAGACACCTACTCAGTGTGATATAAGAAAATCCAACTCCTGCTAGAGACCTCACTCAATAAAGTCAGAGATTAGGACAATTGGACGACTTTATATTCTTTATCTATTTCTGCATATATCATCTATTTTTCTGAGTAGGTAGAGGTATAGCCAGTTGGCTTTGGATTTGCTATCTGACCATTAATGTAAGTGGTGTGCAGAGTTCTATCAAAGAGCATACATTTCCTCATCTTGTGTTCCTTTCCAGCTAACACCAACATTCAGAGTCTTTTAGCTCTGGAAATAGGTAGTTATTATTACGCGGTGATAGATTTAAGCAGATTAATGGACACCGCAACGTTTCAACCTGTAACCAGGTCTTTATCAAGTCTCCAGTGTGCCTTATGTATCACAGTGTCCCCTGTGTATCAGAGTGTCTCAGTGCCCCATGTCTCCCAGTATCTGTGGTGTGTTTCAGTGTCCTCAGTGTCCCCTAGTCTCCCAGTTTCCCCATGTCTCACAGCGCCCCCAAGTGTCTCAGTGTCCCCTAGTATAAAAGAAAAAAATCTCAGGCACTCACTGTGATAGATTTAAGCGGGTTTATTGGACACCACAACATTTTGACCTGTACCCAGGTCTTTATCAAGTCTCCAGTGTCCCCTATATATCAGTGTCCCCTATGTATCACAGTGTCTCAGTGCCCCATGTCTCCCAGTGTCCTCTCATGTCTCAAAGTTACCCAGTGTCCCCATGTCTCCCAGTGTCCCCAGGTCTCTCAGTGTCCCAATGTCTCTCAATGTCCCCTAGTGTCCTAGTCAGGGCCGGCCTTAGGCAATTAGGCGCCCTGTGCAAAAAGTCTTCACGGCGCCCCCCCCACCTCCCACCAAGTTGCCTGAATACAGTAACACACACAGGCACCGGGGGCGTGTGTATCACGAGGCAAACAAGGCATCTGCCTTGGGCGCCACTTTGCAGGGGGCGGCAAAAAAAAGCATCCCTCCAAACCCCCAGGCAGATCCCTTGCTTGCCTCGCATCCTGGGGGGCTCAAGAGCTGACTGGCTGGCCACTTTTGAGCCCCCCCAAGGCTGGCAGCGGGCAGCGAAGGAGCATACTCACCTGAGCTCTTCCTGCTCAGCTTCCTCTGCGCCGCTTAATGAAGCCGGGAGCCAGAATATGGCGTCAGTCCGGCTCCCGGCATCACTAAGCGCTGCTTACTCAGCCTGTGCGCCCCCTGCCTGCCTGCCCAGCAGCCACACTGGACTGCTGGTAAGAAATCCACTCCAGCTTTCCCAGGGAGGCTGGGTGGATTTAAAATAAATGTAAAAAATATTAGTTTGTGAGTGTTAGTGGAAATGTCTGTGTGTGTGTCTGTGAGTGTTTATTTTGAAGTGAATGTGTGTGTGTGTGTGTGTGTGTCTGTAAGTGTGTAATTGTGTGTGTCTGTAAGTGTGTAATTGTGTGTGTCTGTAAGTGAATGTGTGTGTGTCTGTGAGTGAATGTGTGTGTTGGTCAGTGAGTGTATATGTGTCAGTCAGTGGGTGTGTATGTGTCAGTCAGTGAGTGTGTATGTGTCGTCAGTGAGTGTGTATGTGTCGGTCAGTGAGTGTGTGGGTCAGTGAGTGTGTATGTGTCGGTCAGTGAGTGTGTGTCGGTCAGTGAGTGTGTGTCAGTCAGTGTGTATGTGTCGGTCAGTGGAGTCGTGCATCTTTCAGTGAGTGCTTGCGTCTGTCAGTGAGAGTGTTCATCTGTCAGTGTGTGTCCAAGTAATAGTGTATGTGTGTATGTCATTGTTTGTCAGTGTATATGAGAGTGTGCGTCTGTCAGTGAGTGTGCGTCTGTCAGTGAGTGAGCGTCTGTCAGTCAAAGTGCGGCCTTGACAGGAAGGGGTGGGGGAAATTTAAACTCGGTTACAGGCATGTACACACACACTCAGTTAAAGGTAGTCACACATACAGGCACAGGCACAAACAATGGCACAGCTACAGCGACACACACAGACAGACAGTCACATAGGCAGTCACACACACAGACAGACAGTCACATAGGCAGTCACACACACAGACAGACACACAGTAACACACACATAGACAGTTATACACACACAGGCAGGCAGTCACACAGATAGAAAGTCACACACACAGGCAGGCAGTCACACACAGACAGATAGTCACAGACAGACACACACAGGCAGGCAGACAGACACATACAGGCAGTCACACACACAGGCAGTCACACACACAGACAGACAGTCACACACACAGACAGTCACACAGACAGACAGTCTCACACACACAGGCAGTCACACACACTGGCAGTCACACAGACAGACAGTCACACAGACAGACAGTCACACACACAGGCAGTCACATACATGGGCAGTCACACAGACAGACAGTCACACACACAGTCACACACAGGCAGGCAGTCACACACAGAGACAGTCACACACACACACAGAGACAGACAGTCACACACACACACACACAGGCAGGCAGTCACACACAGAGACAGTCACACACACACACAGAGACAGACAGTCACACACACACACAAGGACAGGCAGTCACACAGACAGACAGTCACACACACACACAGACAGACAGTCACACAAACAGGCAAACAGTCACACACACACACTTACCTCTTTCCAGTGGATGCAGTTGGCTGATGGGAAGCATCTTTCCCTCTTCCTGTACAGCAGGGGCTTCGGGAGGTATTAGCCCCGTCTCCGCCTCTCGATAAGCCCCGCCTCCGCCGCTCGGTAAACCCCGCCCCCTCTGCCGCGATTTTTTTATTTTTTATTTTTTTTAAATAGACCCGGGTGGAGAATAATTAATCCTCCAGCCAGGTACCTCTTTTAGCTCCCCTGCACTCCGGCCATGAGTGAGCTGTGTCGGCCACAGGGCGCCCCCTGTTCCATGGCGCCCTGTGCGGT